CTCCTGTTAGCTCCCAATGACTCCTGTTAGCTCCTGATAGATCCTGTTAGCTCCTGCTAGCTCCCAATGACTCCTGTTAGCTCCCGATGACTCCTGTTAGCTCCTGTTAGCTCCCCATAGATCCTGTTAGCTCCCGATAGATCCTGTTAGCTCCTGTTAGCTTCCGATGACTCCTATTAGCTCCCGATAGCTCCTGTTAGCTCCCGATGGCTCCTGTTAGCTCCTGATGACTCCTGTTAGCTCCCTATAGATCCTGTTAGCTCCCGATGACTCCTGTTAGCTCCTGATGACTCCTGTTAGTTCTTGATGGCTCCTGTTAGCGTAAGCGTATCGTGAGGGTCTGTTGGGAACGTCTGGCGGAACCCTCTGTCAGCAGGGTGTTCAACTCCCACCTCCGGGAGAGCTTCTCCCAGATCCCGAGGGAGGCTGGAGACATGGAGGCTGAGTGGTCCATGTTCTCTTCCTCAATCGTCACTGCGGCCGGTCGTAGTTGTGGTCGTAAGGTCTCTGGTGCCTGTCGCGGCGGCAATCCCCGAACCCGGTGGTGGCAGCCAGAAGTAAGGGATGCCGTCAAGCTGAAGAAGGAGTCTTACCTGTCATTTTTGACTTGTGGGACTCCTGAGGCAGCTGACAGGTACCGGCAGGCCAAGCGTGCGACAGCTCGAGCGGTCGCAGAGGCAAAAACTCGGGTCTGGGAGGAGTTGAAGGAGGACTATCGATCCGCCTTGAAGAAATTCTGGCAAACCGTCCGGCGCCTCAGGAGGGGAAAGCAGCTCTCCACCAACACTGTTTACAGTGCAGGTGGGGACCTCCTGACCTCGACTGGGGAGGTCGTTGGGTGGTGGAAGGAATACTTCGAGGGTCTCCTCAGTCCCGCCGTCACGTCTTCAGAAGAGGAAGCAGAGACTGTGGACTCAGAGGCGGACTCATCCATCACCCGGGCGGAAGTCACGGAGGTGGTTAGAAAGCTCCTCGGTGGCAGAGCTCCGGGGGTGGATGAGATCCGTCCTGGATACCTCAAGTCTCTGCATGTTGTGGGACTGTCCTGGTTGACACGTCTCTGCAACATCACGTGGCGGTCGGGGACAGTGCCTCTGGATTGGCAGACCGGGTTGGTGGTCCCTCTGTTTAAGAAGGGGGACCGGAGGGTGTGTTCCAACTACAGAGGGATCACACTCCTCAGCCTCCCCGGTAAGGTCTATTGCAGGGTACTGGAGAGGAGGATCCGACCGATAGTCAAACCTCGGATTCAGGAGGAGCAGTCTGGTTTTCGTCCCGGTCGCAACACACTGGACCAGCTCTATACCCTCCATCGGGTGCTCGAGGACTCATGGGAGTTCGCCCAACCAGTCTACATGTGTTTTGTGGATCTGGAGAAGGCATTCGACCGTGTTCCTCGTGGTGTCCTGTGGGGGGTGCTTCAGAAGTATGGGGTCCAGGGCCCTCTGTTAAGAGCTGTCCGTTCCCTGTACGACCACAGCAGAAGCATGGTTCGCATTGCCAGTTATAAGTCAGACCTGTTCCCAGTGCGCGTTGGCCTCCGCCAGGGCTGCCCTTTGTCACTGGTTCTGTTCATTATTTTTATGGACAGAATTTCTCAGAGCAGCCAGGGGGAGGAAGGGGTTCCGTTTGGGAGCCGCAGAATTTCATCTCTGCTGTTTGCAGATGATGTTGTTCTGTTGGCTTCATCAAACCAGGACCTTCAGTGTGCACTGGGGCGGTTTGCAGCCGAGTGTGAGGCGAGCAGGATGAGGATCAGCACCTCCAAATCCGAGGCCATGGTTCTCGACCGAAAAAAGGTGGCTTGCCCTCTCCAGGTCGGTGGAGACTCCTTGCCTCAAGTGGAGGAGTTCAAGTATCTCGGGGTCTTGTTCACGAGTGAGGGGCGGATGGAACGTGAGATTGACAGATCTGGGTAATGACCGAAAGAACGAGATCGCGGCTTTGCTAAGGCTGCTGCCTCCGCGACCCGACTCCGGATAAGCGGGAGAAGATGGATGGATGGATGGATGGATGGATGGCTCCTGTTAGCACTCAATGACTCCTGTTAGCTCCTGATGACTCCTTTTATCTCCTATTAGCTCCCAATGACTCCTGTTGTCTTCTGTTAGCTCCCAATGGCTCCCGTTAGCCCCTCTTCGCTACAGATTGCTCTCGTTAGCTCCTCTTAGCTCCAGATGGCTTCCGTTAGCTTCTCTTAGCTCCTGATGGCTCCCGTTAGCCCCTCTTAGCTACAGATGACTTCCGTTAGCTCCTCTTAGCTACAGATAGCTCCCGTTAGCTCCTCTTAGCTACAGATAGCTCCCGTTAGCTCCTCTTAGCTACAGATGGCTCCCGTTAGCTCCTCTTATCTACAGATGGCTCCCGTTAGCCCC